AAGATATCTCTTTGAAGAGCACACATTTGAAAGCTGGACAATGAATAAGGAGGACTAAAAAAGGGTTGATACTCTTGAGTTGTGGTGCTGGCAAAGAACACTGAAAGTACCACGGACTGCCAGAAGAACTAACAAAAATATTCTGGAAGAAGTGCAGCCTGGAAGAAGTTCCATTCTCCTTGGAAGCAAGAATGGCTAAACTTTGTTCCACCTACTTTGGTCATGTTGTCTGAAGTGACCATTCCCTGGAGATGGATATCATGCTTGGTAATGTGGAGGGTCCGTGAAAAAGGGGAAGACCCTCAACAAGATGGACTGACACAGTGGCTGAAATGATGGGCTCAGGAATAGTAAAAACTGTGGGGATGGCATACGACTGGACAGTGTTTCCTTCTGTAGTACTTATGATTACTGTGAGTTGGAACCAACTCGATGGCAGCTTACGACAACAGTAATGTTTCACTCTTTTTGATCATATGAGTTCCTATAACCTAGAATGCTTTAATATAACTAATCTCTAAGAAATGTGGCAGCCATCCAACAGAAAAAGAATTTCTCCTATCAATATTAAGTGTGTTTATTGTCCCTGTTTCACAAATAAACTTCTTCAAGACCCCTGAGTAGAAAAGTTTAGGCAGAACCACCAATGCGCTGATTCCCAATTTAGTGCTTCTATGAGAAGAACATATTTTCTTGTTAATATACTATAATTGCAATCCCTAGGACTACTTTAAGGGCTCTTTTTAAACGCCTGCTATAGGGAATAAGATTGTATTTCGAGTCCCAGGTTTATTCTCACTAGTACTATGTTAAAGCTGAACCTTGAACTATCAGCTAAATCATCAATCTGAACTGTTGTTGTTGTTGTTGTTATGGAAGTAGACTGCCCAACCTTCCTTCCGAGGAGTGTCTGGTAGGTTTGAACCGCCAGCCTTCTGGTTAGCAGTCAAGTGCCTTAGGCACTATCCTACCAGAGCTCCTCATCTGAACTGGGTTATTTATAACCAGCATCACTTCTAATTATGAAGATTTAGTCCCTAATTTAGTTACCAAGAAGTAAACTATACATTTCCATTGTTGTTGGATGTGCCATTGAGTCGGACCCGCCTCATAGCGACCCCTTCTTGGGTTTCCAAGGCAGTATGACTATGGAAGTAGATTGCCCCATCTTCCTTCCAAGGAGTGGCTGGTGGGCCACCGGCCTTCTGGTTAGCACTCCAGTGCCTTAGGCACTATGCTACCAGAGCTCCTTTAGTGTATCCAGTATTTTGTTTCATGCCTATTTTTATCTTCTTATTAGATACCTTATTAGGAGCTCTGGCAGTGTAGTGTATAAGGCACTTGACTGCTAACCAAAAGGCTGGTTGTTCAAACCCAATAGCCACTCCTCGGAAGGAAGGTTGGACAATCTACTTCCATAGTGATACCACCTCGGAAACCCAAGGAGGGGTCGCTATGAGTCGGGTCTGACTCGATGGCAAAATAACAACAAACAAAAACATTATACATCCAAGTCATCTTTTGCTTGTCCTTATGCTTTCTCCTGCAAGTTTTTCTGCAACTCTTCCACATTTAATTTTTTCTTTTTTACTGTTAGAAATGTCTTTTGTTATTGTTGTTGTTATAATGTCTTTAAGATCACTTATTACTAGGCACCAGCTTAATACTGAAAAAAAATTTCAAATCACCTTTCTACAACTTCCCCAAATACCTCAATAAAGAGCTTTTCAAATAAAGATGTGCTCTCTTCTTTCTTCCATGTAAAACTTTATGAAATAAAGGTCAAGAAGTGTGTACATCTTGTTGTAAAATGTCTGCAGTGTGGAGACAGTACCTGCTCATGTTCCTTTTACTATTCAGGTCCTGAAAGACTCTTATTCATAAACTGTCTCCTCACAAAGCAAGTCCATCACCGGCTTGGCATTCTGAGGGTTAACAATTTTCTCACAAAGATTTAGTCTCACCTCTTGCCTCAGCTGCTGTAAGCAGGCCCTCATCACTTCATCTTCATGTTTGGTTGTAGATTTAGCATTAATGGCATTAAGCAGAAAATCAGAATCTCCAAGAATGAGAAATGCAGTGATCCCCAGTGTATACATTTCTTTATCACCTTGGGTATTAGAATTGTACTTCTGGAGTTTCTTTGGTATTCAGAAATGTAGAGAGTTGTGTAATATCAAGAGCTTATCCACTTAATTCTTAATTTCATAGTTTGTGAAGAAGACACAAGCCTTGAAATAACCTATGGCCTCATCCACATGTTGTAGTTATGTGTCGTCGAGCTGGACCCGACTCATAGCGACACCTCCTCCTTGGGTTTCCAAGGCAGTATCACTATGGAAGAAGATTGCCCAATCTTCCTTCCAAGGAGTGGCTATTGGTTTTGAACTGCCAGCCTCCTAGTTAGCAGTCAAGTGCCTTATGCACTACGGTATCCACATACCTGTGTCTGTGGTCTCTCAAGAGGCAGGTCCCTTGAATTGACTTCTGATAGGAAGCAGTGCCATGTTTGCAAAGACTTTGGAATCAGGGTCCATAAGAGAAGAGCAGTAGGCCAGCATCTTGGCAGAGCCCAGGTTTGTACCCAACTCCACATTTAACTTCCTTTTTCTTTGTATATATATATAAGCTTTACATACATATATATGTATGTATGTATAAAATATATATATAAACTCCCTTGAGCTTCAAAATTTTACTCAGTTTCTGAAATTTACTTCTCCAACAACATCTCTCTGCTTTCATTATTTTAAGCAAGAAGTATTACACTCTGCAAGAGATCACCTGGAGTCTCCAAGGTTAAAAATAAAGATTTGCATGTATTACCCACTATCTTATCTAAGGCCACAACCACCTTTAAACAGTTATGCTTTTAGAAGTGGCATATTCAGTTTTATACTTACTTCTGACTTCACCAGAAGTTCCCTACCATCCTAAAACCATATTCTCCTTAAAAACAAAACAAAACAAAAAACCCCAAACTCACTGTCCTTAAGTTGATTCTGACGCACAGAAATGTCCACTGGGTTTCCAAGGCTGTAAATCTTTATAGAAGCAGATTGCCTGCCTCATCTTTCTTCTACAGAGAGGCTGGTGGATTTATACCACTAACCTTTTGGATAGCAGCCCAATGTCTTAACCACTACACCAGCAGAACTTCTTTCATATTCTACGTAGCATTCTGGTTAATGGAGATATATTTCATTATATTTAATGTGTGGTGAATTATAGGCTCACAAACTCAAGCTGATGTAGAAATAACTCCCTTCTTTTGACTGAGGGAGAAACTGAGGCATAGACAAGTTAAGTGACTTTCAATGTATCCACTGACTTTCCAGAAAGTTCAGTAGTAAAAAATATCAAGAAAGAATGATTCAAATCTAAAAGTTTTATTCAACATGTTCATATATGAAAGAATTGTTTGGAACTTAAAACACGTGTGCAATGGAAGTAACACAGATATTCTATGAGTTCACAGTTCAGCCACAAACATGTATTTAAATGGAATTCTAGTTATTTTCTAGGGTCTTAAACATTTTAGACATTTTAATTTCACTACTAAGTATAAGCTCTCAATTTTGCTTGATGCAGATATTACATCAATTATACTCTATTTCAGATTTGTTTAGTGTTATTTTTTGGGTCACAAATAAAAGAAAGGAAAAAAAGAACTTTCTACACTAATGAGAAGAGAATAAATACCTTACTTTATTAAAGGTTAAAATGATATTAAATGCACACACACACACACACATTCATCTGAGTAGATTTAGAACTATGAAAAAACATTTAAAAAAAAGTAAGAGGGGAAGGATTGAAGTAGTTAAATAGCATGGGCTGGATTTTATACAACTCGCATTATCCTACCCCATCAAAATCCCACAGAAGATAACAAAGTGTTAAAAATTAAGCTGGCTACCAAGTAGTTCTATGAGCTTCGAATAACTAGATTACGAGGGAATGAAAAGGAGCTCTGGTAGCATAGTGTCTAAGACATCTGACTGCTAACCAGAAGACTGGCGGTTCAAACCCACCAGCCACTCCTTGAAAGGAAAGTTGGACAATCTACTTCCATAGTGATACCACCTCGGAAACCCGAGGAGGGGTCGTTATGAGTCAGATCCAACTTGACGGTACATAACAAAAACACAAGGAATGAGAAGGGAAAGAATCAGAGAGCAGAGGTGTCTAGGGCAGAGGTAAGCAAAATTTTTCTGTAAAAGGCCAGGTATTTAAAGTCTCTATTGTAACTATACAACAAAAGTATCCATACCAAAACCAAACCAAACTTACTGCCATCAAGTCAATTCTGACTCATAGCGACCCATGTTGGGTTTCCTAGGCTGTAAATCTTTATCGAAGTAGATCGCCCAGACTTCGTCCCACACAGTGGTTGGTAGGTTTGAACTACCAATCTTCTGGATAGCAATCAAATGCCTTAGGCACTATGCCAAATGTAAATGAATTAAGTTTGTCTATGTTTCAGTGAAAATTTATTTATGGACCCTGGCATTTTAAATTCATATAGTAATTTTCACATCACTAAATATTATTCTTCTTTTGATTTTTTACAATCATTTAAAAAAATTATAAAACCTGTATTTAGCTAATGGGCTACACAAAAACAGGAGACACGTTGAATTTGACCTGGGGACTACAGTTTGTAGACCTGCAGTCAACAGGATAGTTGGGGAGAACGGGGAAACAGGATGTATCTGGTTTAATACCTAGAGGGAGTATTCATGAATATTCCTGTATTAAAGGAATATTTTGGGTGTATTAAACCCAAATGCAAAAGCAGTTCCCTTCCCTGACTCTCCCATGCACAACGAAACTCATATTTCATTATCTTTAACATGAAAACAGTGCCAGAAACATAATCACTGGTTCATAGGCAAAAAGTTCTCATAAAATACAGTTCACAACTCATAATTTTGAACAGACAAGTTATTCTATGGATAGTATCTTAAAGTTACTAGCAATAGATAATTATTCATTACCATTTTGTCCCTGAGTCGCTCTCCATGGATAAAAAAGTCAGCACAGCCATTCTCTTCCTGGTGAGGGACTTTGAAGACAGTGACGCAGCTTAGTCCACTCCCTCCAAGTGGTAACCATCCACCACTTGAGTCATCTCGGGTCATCACCACAGCTCGGACTCGTGCATAACTATTACTAAAATAGATGCAAAGATTAGGAATTAGCTTTTCCATAAACAAAAAACAGTCAAGCGGTCAGTCTTGTTTGAGAAAGCAAAGACCACATTAGTTACTATGTGGTGACTGAAGTGTTTACTACTTTCACGACAATCCGCAGAAAGTAATTTCATGACAGAAGTCAAAAACCAATCTAACTTTTAAGGTTACTCTTTATTTTAAAGACTAACTGCAGAATAAAAGATGAAAGAATTCTTATTGCAATTCATCATCTGAATAGTTCAAGCAAGTCTGGTTGTCATGAAACAAGTTATGAAAGACCCCAGAGAAAGTACCATCAAAATTGTCTATGCATCCATTTGTTGCAATATTCTAGCCAGGGCAAATTGTTGTTGTTGTTGTTATTTGCCATTGAGTCAGCCCCAACTCACAGCGACCCCTCCTTGGGTTTCCGAGGCAGCATCACTACGGAAGTAGGAATGCCCAACCTTCCCTCCGAGGAGTGGCTGGTGGGTTTGAACCGCCAGCCTTCTGGTTAGCAGTCAAGTGCCTTAGGCAGTATGCTACCAGAGCTTCTAGCCAGGACAAATTACTGCTCTATTTTAGCACATTTAATTGTTGTATCTCTAAGCTCCTAACAGCTCTGGAATATATTACAATTAAAACACTGAAGCAAATATGCTTAACTCAGATACCACCTTTTCAAT